AGACAGACAGAGACAGACAGACAGACAGAGACAGACAGACAGACAGACAGACAGACAGACAGCCTCCCCTCCGGTGCTCTAACTCCTCTCTCATGTAGTTTTAACATAATGAACTAATCACTGCTCCTCAGGAGCCTCTTTAAAGTTTAAAGTGTTGATCATCTGGCCTTTCAGGGCCCTGAAGGGCCTCACAGGGTGTGGTCACATCATTGTGTGTTTGGAGCTCGTGGTGCGTTCAAGTTCCTCCATGAAGAACATCTAACATCTACTTTCACTTTAACACACATGAAGACGTGTCCATGGAGACGCAACATGTCAGCTGTTCTCTGAATCACATGGATGTAACAACGTGTTGATGAAGATCAGCTGATCACCGTCACACTCTCTAAACATCGTTTCCACAACAGAACGACATCATTCATCTCTGATAGATACAAGGGGGGGGGGGGCATTAGCATTCTTATGCTAACTAGCTGCAGCAGCTAGCAGCTTAGCCTACAGTGTCCTCATGGCTGTGTCTCTCTCTCTGGGGTTAATACATCTGATACATGTTCATACTTCATCTGGATACATTAACTTAAACAAAAGGTCACATGATGAGAGGTCAGCGCTGCAACATAAAGATAAGTTTCAGTTTTTTAGTCGCTGCATCTGAATCGTCGTACTTTGTGCAGTAAAAAGAAAGAAAACAAAATAAATACAAGCCAAGTGAAAGGAGGAGGAGGAGGAGGCCTGCTGTCTTCTCTGTCTTCTGCAGAAGGGTGTGGACTCAGGTATAGCTCCTTAGACCCCTCCCCCTCTCCTCCAGGTATATATGTCCTCCCCATAGATTCCTATAGAAGCTCCTGCTAGTCCTCTCCTGCGTCCATAGACCACGTCGTAGACGTTGACCGTAGACCACGTCGTAGACCGTAGACCACGTCGATCCTTCACAGTGAGAGGAAGAGATCTGTGGAATCCTGGAGCCAGTGGAGCAAACAGCAGCAGCTCTGCTCAACCTCAGCGCCAACATGTTGTACCTGGAGACCGGGCCTAGCACCACGTCCTACAGCGAGGTAAGACCAGGACCCAGAGGGCCCCCCCCTCCCCAACACGGGACCCGCGTCTTGCCTCGAATAGAGGCCTCGGATTTTTATTCTGCTTCTGTTTTAATTCTGGAAACGATTCGGGGTAAAGCAGGTCTTTGGTGCTGATTGAGGAGAAGAAAGTGTTTAAATTAAGTAGAATGATTTGTGTTTACGGGATCCTGGAGAACCTGGAGAACCTGGATAACCTGGATCCAGAGCGTCCCTCTGGACCTGAGTCGGTGGATCTGATTTATTTGTTGAAGGAGAAAATCGGATTTATTTGTTCTTTGACTTCGGACGGTTTTGATTTTTTCTGCAGTTCCAAGTTTTTGTTCCTTTCGCGGAAAAGACATAAAGTCAAAATATAAAGAATGGAAAGCATCTATTGTTGTTCATTTAAATGATTAAGATTAATAACGATGTGATTTAGTGATTCATTGATGAAGAAGTCAGAGAAGGATTTTCATGTGTTTCTCTGTTCTTCTCCTATAAATAGTAAAGATAATAATAATGATGCATTAATCTGCACAAAGTACAATCTGATGATATTATAAAAACAATCAGAGGATTTATTTCCACGATAAAAAAGATCAGAACTCAGCTTCTTTTTTTTCAGCACCAACTTTTTTCTGTGATTTTCGGACATTTTATTTTGCATCATTTGAATTTAACTTTTTAATTTGTCTCCGTGAGGTTTTACGGTATTGTCATGTGATTCTCGTGCCGTTCCGTCTTTACTTTTTCTTCCTCTGTCTCTTGTTTTTTACCGAGTGACGTCTGAAGCCGAGCGCTGATAGATTGCAGGTTGCAGATAGCAGGTGTGTCAGGTCCCTGTCTTTTAAGTTGTTGGGGGGGGTCTTTAAGTGGTGTCGGGTTCCCCCCCCCCTACTCCAGTCTCCTGGGAGCCGCTGCTGTTTAGTCCTGGATCCTAATTGCTTTAATGGTGTGTTGATGTAGATACAATCACCTCCGCTGCCCTCCCCAGCAGGGATAAAGGTGTAGATAGACCCCCACCTAGACCCACCCAGACCCATCTACACCCCCGACCCTGTTGTCACTCATCAGTCCCCATGGTGCTCTGTGGAGGCCAAACACGGAGCTCCAGAGACCCTCCAGGCCTCTCGGGATTCACCAGAGAGGCTGTGTGACCCCCCAACAACATGGTTACGTGATCCCCATCAGCAACAGGGTCTATGTGACCCCCATCAGCAACATGGTCCAGATTCAGGGATGGAGTTCTATCAGGACTGTGTGGTTTTGATCAGGAGACCTGAGGATATTTATGAATAATAATTCATTCACTCATCAGAGATCTCTTAAATAATGTTTTATCTTCAGACTCTCTTCATTCATTTTAGTGACTTTAATATGACGCATTTACGGCGTGTCCCTGAACACACCGTCGCCTCTCAAGGAGGAACTCTTTAAAGCAGCTAAAGTGGAATCAGATCTGATGAAAGGAGACGAAGAGAAAGCTGATAAATCCCACTTCCACTCAATTAAACATGAAGACGTGATGAGTTCAGGTGCTCTCCTCTTTCATTCAGACCTCCAGAGGCTTTAATGCTGCTGTCTGTCTTTATCGTGATAATTTTACATTGATAATTGGTGCCTGTCACCTACATCAGGTAGTGGAGGGGGGGGGGGGGGCTGACTCCTCACATATATGGGAAAATACCGTCAAACAGAAAACGCTGTCACCTCTGGTTCTACTTTCCTTCTTTTCATTCACGCTGACAGAATAAATAAGTAAATAAATAACAACCAGTTTGAACCGTGTTTCCTCCTCTGAGACACTTGCATCCTTCAAATGCATATATGTATATACGTATATATATATATATAGTATATATATAGTATAGTATATAGTATTATGTGGTGATTTACCAGCTGTATCGTGGTGAAAAAACTAAAACTGTAATCAAAAGCCTTGTTGGACCTTGAACGCAACACCAGGAAAGACTTGGAGCTTTGTTTTTGTTCATAGTTTCATGAGTTCTTTTGGTACACTTTCGGTGCGTTCAGGGCCCCAAACTAAAAACCTTCAACATGCATATTTTAATTCAAAGCTCTGTCTTCATTTTACATAAAATCTTTAAAATATTATGAGGTGATTTACAAGCTGTATCGCGGTGAAAGAACTCAAACTCAACTATTCAAGACACTTGTAATCCATAGCCTTGTTGGACATTGAAGGCAACACCAGGAAGCACTTTGTTTTTGTTCATAGTTTCACGTTCTTTTGGCCCCGAAATAAAAAATCTTCAACATGCATCTGTTTATTTACAGGTCAGTCTTGATTTTACATGTAACTTTGTTGCATTAGGTTTTTTTATACCATGTTTATTTGTTAGGGACAAATATGTATACAAAGAGAACTGCACAACAATTATCCAGTGCCGTGTATCACAGTGGTTTTAGCCCTAAAGATCAAAGTTTTTCACTTTAAATAATTCTCCGTCCCTCCTTCTCATCTTCTCCAGTCTCAGTACACCAACCTGGGGCTCCTGAATAGCATGGACCAGAGCATCCAGAACGGCGGCTCCACGTCCACCAGCCCGTACAACAACGACCACGCCCAGAACGTGACCGCCCCGTCGCCCTATGCCCAGCCCAGCTCCACCTTCGACGCCCTCTCCCCATCGCCGGCCATCCCGTCCAACACCGACTACGCCGGGACGCACGCCTTCGACGTGTCCTTCCAGCAGTCCAGCACAGCGAAGTCCGCCACCTGGACGGTAAGAAAACCTTTGAGTCCTTGAAACCAGGCGTAACCCTATTGCACTTCCTGTTTGAAGTCAGTGTGTTTCTGGTTCAGATGTCGGAAATCAGGTGTTTAGTTGATGCTGCGTTCACTTACAAGCAGGAAAATGTGGCCGCCTGAAGCTATCTGATGTTTCTATGACAGATCTCTGAGCTTCTACCAAGAGAAACAGTTCATTGAGTAACCATCTTTACATCTACAGATTTTTTCATTGAGGAAATATTTCAGAAAATCTAATTCAAGACATTTTTTTTAAAACTGCAGGAACTAGTGAACTAGCAGCACGAAGAAGCACAAACAAAAGTTACAACATTGTTTTTAGCACAAAGGCTCCATAAAGAAAAATACGGTAATTCACCGTGAGAGTCGCCATGTTTCTGTGACGTCAAGTTTGTTTACGACGGCCGACTTGGTATTATGTTTGGGACGAGAATTTCTTTGCACTTCACCGTGTCAGAGGTCGTATTTAGCAGATTTAGCGGAGACATGAAGTCACGTGACCGTGGTAGAGTTCCTTTATAGACTGACGTGAAGTCACGTGACCGTGGTGGAGTTCCTTTACAGACTAACATGAAATCACGTGACCGTAGGAGAGTTCCTTTATAGACTGACGTGAAGTCACGTGACCGTGGTGGAGTTCCTTTACAGACTAACATGAAGTCACGTGACCGTGGTGGAGTTCCTTTACAGACTAACGTGAAGTCACGTGACCGTGGTGGAGATCTTTATAGACTAACGTGAAGTCACGTGACCGTGGTGGAGTTCCTTTACAGAATAACGTGAAGTCACGTGACCGTGGTGGACTTTCTTTATAGACTAACGTGAAGTCACGTGACCGTGGTGGACTTTCTTTATAGACTAACGTGAAGTCACATGACCATGGTGGAGATCTTTATAGACTAACGTGAAGTCACGTGACCG